CTGCAGGAAGACAAAGAGGGTTCTATAGATTCTGGGCTCAGAGAGGGCCCCACAAGCAACCCCCACTTCTACATATCTACCTAAAAACCCTGCAACACCTTTGCTTTTGCAGTGCTACCAGGCAATGCTTCCACAGACAGCCAGATGCAAAAGCACAATCTGGGCACAATAAATTCTGGTGCACTGGTAGATAAGCAAGATGTGAAAGGAAAAAATCCTGCCCTACCCTGCCAGGACCCTCTGACGGGGGGCCAGTTTCTGTGGGACTCCAGCAGCGTGCCATGCTCCTACAGCAGCAGTGAAAAGAAGCAGCATGAGCTGCCCAGCCCTAACTGCTCCCTTCTTCCCATGAGAATGAATCCCAACACAGCAGTCACACGAGGGCAGAAGATGTCCCCTCAGGGTGATAGCAAAGCTGTTAAGAGGGACACATTCTAGCCAGGCTGTTTTGCTTGGCTGGGCACCCAAGAAACACCTCACCAGCACCCACCTGCTCCAGGCAGCTCCTACAGGTCTCCTGGATGAGCTGCTCTGGGTCCACCTCCTCCCCAACGTTATCACGCACGTTGATTGCTGCTGTCTGGAAAAACTGAAGAGGAAAAGACAGGAGAGAGTGACAGCCTGTGCAGAGAGGCACGACGGCCTCGGTGGCAGCCGAGCTGTCCCCATGTCCCTGCTGCTGCCCACCTGTCCCCAGCGCTCACCTTCATGTACTTGTTGAAGATGCCCTGGATCTCCTCGTTGATGCTGGGCTGCAGCACAGCGCGCAGCAGGTCCATGGACACGCTCGGGTCCGTGAAGCTGCGGGTGGAGGGGTCAGGAGCGGGGCGCGGAACCCCCTGCCCCGGCCCGGTCTAACCCGATCCGCTGCCCATCCCGGTCCCGCTGTTCTACCCTCCCCTTCCATCCACCACGTGCCCTGCCAACCCATCCCGGTCCCGCCGTACCTGGTGGTCATCTGGGAGCGCCGCCCGCGCCGCTGCACCTGCCGGTGCTTGATCATGATGTTCCAGGGACTCTGCGGGACACACACGCGTCAGCCGCGGCCCCGCCGCTGCCCGCAGCCCGCCCGGCCCGGCCCGGTTCCCTCCTCACCGTGCTCACCAGCTGCTCCTCGGCCTCACCCGGGCCCTCCTCCCCCGGCGGCCCCGGCTGCTGCTCCGCATCGCGGGCGGCGCCCATGGCCCCGCTCCCGGCTGCGGTGCGAGGCACCGGATGCGCGGGGCTCCCGCGTCTGCATCATCGGGCCCCGACGGATGTGACGCGTACCGGGGAGCGGGGCCGGGCCGGGCCTGCAGCGGGAGCGGGGAGGGCTGAGGGACACCCGGTGTGTGCTCGGGGAGCCCTGGGGTAACACGCGGTGTGTGCTCGGGGAGCCCTGCGCTCACACCGTGCCCGCCCTGGAGGTGCCCCCGGAGCGCTGGCCGCAGCCCCCGGGTGTCCCCGCCGCCCTCACGGGGGGCTGAGCAGTCCCGGAGAGCGAGGCAGGGCATCCCGAGTCCCTAAGGCTTAATCTCATCTTGTCCCACCCAGACGAAGATCTGTCTCGGATGGCCTCTGGCCCTGAGACCCGAATACCTGCAGCTGGAGTGGGAATGCTAGTCTTTCCATGATCTCTGTGTTCCGTGTATAAATTTCCATGATGTCTGTGCTCCTTGTATAATTTCTCTTCCTGGAGTCTCATTGCTTCTCTGAGCAAACACCTCAGCATTTCCTCATCTTGTCTAATGTGTGCAGAATAGTCAAAACAACCTTTCTGTTTTCTAGATAATCTCTCCCTGTGTGGTCAAAGAGAAGCTTTTCTGTTGAATCAGCTGGTTAACAATTTGCGTTGTTAAACCATTTACTATTTTGCTGGTAACATTCTTCCTCATTCCACGATGATTCAGTGCCAGAAACCAAGCAAAGAGGATTTGCCAGAGTGCAGGGTGGGTCTTGCTGTGTCTCCAAGTGCTGTCACTGTTGTATGTGCCAGTGGGGCAGCCCTGAGCCATGCTGCGGGGGAAAGCAGCACCTACTTCCCTCCAGCTTTGCCAGATGCTCCATCTTGTTTCATTTGTGTTCAAGGGATGAGAGCATGTGGCACTTGGAGCCGTGATGTAATTGACAAGGTGGTGATCAGTCAAAGGTTGCATTTGATGATCTCAGAGGTCTTTTCCAACCTAAATCGTTCTGTGGTTCTGTGACCAATGCTGTGGGGGCTGTGTTGGTGTCTCCAGAGGATGTTGTGCTGGTGTCTCAGCACCTGTCACTGCAGCCTGTGGCTGTGTCCCCTCAGTGTGACTCTCTGGCTGTAGCTGTTGGCTCAGCAGTGACCACACTGGGCTCTCACGGAAGCCTGGAATGGCTGTGGGAGCAGAGGCCACTGACTCATGGGCTCACATGTTGGAAGAAGTTCCTGCCTTTGTCCCCTCCCTGCTGCTTTGACTGGGGCTGCACCAGCCTGGGGTAAGCTTTGGGCTGTTAGACAAACCCAGTGGTGGATGTGGGGCCAACCAAGTCACCATCAACATCGACATAACGTCATTATCACCAGCACTGGGCTGCTTGTGCACTTCTTTTGGTTACTTACTTCAAGTTGTTGGCAACAAAAACTGGACATTTCCCAGAGGAGAGGAAGAACAACTGTGGCTGTAGGAACCCCCAGGGAAAGATGGGGAAAGTGATACTGTTAATGTGTGAAGCCAGCTTACGCTCTGCACCCACCTTGATGGACAAATTGTTCCTTGTGTTTATTCGAATCAAGTGAGGCTGAGATCAGATCTTTGGAAAAGCTTTCCAATTAACAAGAAGACTTAAATCTTGGAACAAATTCTGAATTACTGAGTTGCCACTTTTGCAGGGAGAATGATGTTTCCCAAGAGCGTGTTGGAACAACGTCTGTCAGGGATCACCTAAATCTAACTGATGTGATGCCTTATTTGGGTCTCCTCCAGGCCATGGTTTTTAATGGTAATTTTTCCATGGATCTCTGTGATAGGTGCATGTCTGCCAGACATGAACACCTGGTTCACAGCTGCGATTGTCCATATTTCTGTTTGATTCTTGGGGAGACTTTGGACAAGTCTCTCTGACCCTCAGCATCCTCAGGCATTTATTTCATCAGAGCAATTTGCTTGTCAGAAATTCTACTCCATTAGTTCCCTAAATATTATCCAGGAATATGGTCTGCTAGAACAGAAATATGCCAAAAACTGTGGTGTTGTTCCCAAAAGGAGGAACCACTAGGCAAGCAGGGGGACAGCCGCAGTGCTGTGCTCTCCATTGAGCCACTCCTGAGGCTGGAAGGAGCCCTATGATCCCTCAGGTTGTTCCAGATGGTTTGCCAGGTGCGTGGAAGGGAGTGGGCACTGCTGACACTGGCTGGCCAGCACTGCCTCTCTGGGGTGTCCAGCTCAGGGGTGATTAACAGCCACAGAAAGATGTGATAAACACCAGAATGCCAGGTTCCACCCAGCAGCTGCAAGGTGTGGAGTACCAGATCTCTGGTGGACATGGGTGGCTCGTGAAGGAATTGCATCCACCTTGAGTCATAGCAGGAGGAGAAGGATAAACCTGTACTTAAAGCATTTTTCTTGCCATCAGCCCTCTTCCCACAAAGATTTGTGGAGATTTGTGCAGAGCTGTGCTCCTTCCCTTGCACTGTCCCTGCATCATCTTGATGTGATGTTGATGGAAAGCTCTTTGAGCATGACTTCACTTTTCCAGTGCTCCTGTCAAGTGCCAGCTTAGAATTGTGGTAATAATGTCAATCTCAAACCAATTAATTTCACTCGCTCTACAAACTTTGTCTATTATCCAGAAATTCCAACCCATTTGTGCTTGGAGCCGATGTGTCCTGGGCAGACAAGTCCTTCAGTTCTCCTATCCTATTGATGTTCAAATGAAGCCTTGAATATTTGACCTGCAAAGATCTGCAAAAAGTCTTATGTGTGAAACAGTAGCCTTGAATGGAGGGCATTTTGCATGTGGAAGGAGGGAGCTCCTAGCACTGCTGCCAGGTGCTCTTGCCCTGTTCTTGTTCCATCCGGGATGGCAGGGCCAGGACACGCTCCTGCCTGCAGCACAGCTCAGCACTGGGGCAGAGCTCGGCGCTGGAGTCACTGCTGTTGATAAAGGTCATCGTAGGGATTCCTGTTGAGAGCAGCAGTGAAGAATCTGCCTCTGTGCAGCCCTGGTTTCCCCTTGCATCCTCCAGTCCTTGTGCTGTCCTCCTTGGAGTGCAGCCAAGTTTGGATCCTGCTCCTGCCTTGGTTGTGGGTGGAGCTGGAGTGGCTCTTCGGTAAACAGAATTAGAGGCAAATGTGGGAGGTTCCTGAAGTCACCTCTGAACTGCCTCCTCCCATTCCTTGGACCCGGGCTGCCTGCGAGGCACTTTAAATTGCCGGTTGGCACAGTCCTGGACACAGACTTCATCAGCATGGCACAAAGCATCCTCCTGCTGGGGCTCCTCGCTCTGTGGGTGCAGCTGCAGGCAGCACCCATTGCAGGCAAGTATGGGTGGGTGGGAAGAATATTTAAGAGTATTTTTTCCTTATTTTCATAGAATCACAGGTGTTCTGCAGGTGCTTGCAGGTGCCAGGTTGCTGCCTGGTGAGGGCCAGGGAAGCAGTGGGAGTGGGGTGGGGTGAGCCTGGGCGATGTGAGGATCACTGCAATGCCACAGCGAGCTGTGGCACAGTGCCATCTCTCCCTGACTCCCCAGTGCAGCTGGGGACATGTGTCTCTGCTCTCCAGGGCAGAGGTGCCCAGGAGGGCCCCTCAGGCACCAGCCCCACCATGACACTGCCATGAGATGGGAGGCACCAGCATGGCCTTGGGCTGAGTTGCCTCAGTCTTAGGGGCAGCAGGGGTCAGGCAGAGCCCTGAAAACCCACCAGGAAAAGCTGCAGGGGAGAAAACAACACAGCATCGTGGTAAACTGGGCTGCTGGGTGGGAGCAGTGGATGGCAGGGCAGCATGCTGGGGCTGATGCTGCTGCTTTTTACTCTCCTAGAGTTCCATGGAGTAGCTCCAGCTGGGTGGCCACCACCAGGGCATCTGGGAAGCACCCTGAGCCTTGAGCCTGGGAAAGAGCCCAGCATGGTGCCTGACAATGATGATGGTGATGGTGACAATGACAACAACAGCTCCAATAGCAGTGAAACTGGTGATGATGGCAACAACATCAATGACTATGGTGGTGATAATGGTAATAAAAATCAGCGTTGTGATGGCAATGACCATGATGATGGTGACAATGACAGTGATGATGGTGATGATGACGGTGATGATGGTGATGATGATGTCAACAGTGACAATTCCGATGAAGATAGTGATGATGGTGATACAAATGACCTTTCTGATGGCAAGGACAATGACAATTATGGTGATGATGATGGTGACGAAGGCAATGAAGATGGTGATGATGGCAACAATGATGAAAATTCCAATAGCAATGAAGATGGTGATGATGACATCAACAGTGACAGTTCCAATAGCAGTGAAGATGGTGACTCCAATGACAATGAATATGATCACTCCAGTAGCAATGAAAATGGTGCAGATTATGGGGGGTGGCGATTTTAGCTTGTAACGGTTTTATTACCCTGGGATTTTCAGAGATTTTTGGGTTCCTTTTTTATGGCACCCACCTCAGGCTACCAGATTTCATGATTGATCTGTGCCAATAAATGTATCTAGTGAACATGAGAGCTTAATGTCACAAATTTCTTTAACAGCTTGGCAACCCAAATGGGGCACTTGGTTACTTGCCTGTTTTCTTCCAAGCACCAGATATCCAAATTTGCAGCAGTGGGTGGTTTCACCCGGGAGCTCTGGAGTAAGGAAGGACTGAGTACTGAGTGTCAGATCTCTAAAGGAGGTTCAAGTCCTTCCTTCTACAAGTTTGAGCTTAGTGAGTTTTGGGAAAAATGAGCAATGTACCTGGCATAAAGAAGGGGATGCCCTTATCTGAGGTACTGCAGAACTGGGAGAAGATAGCTGGCACTACTAAATAATCTCTAAAGCTCACAGTGATATTATGCCAGGAGGAATGGCCATTTATTACTTGACATGCTGGGAAAAAAACCCCTGCAGAAATGTGGCCCACACAGGGGGTTTCAAAGAGATTGTTTTGATTTGCCTTCAACATAGGTTACAGGACTGATAGACAGGGCAGATGGACTATTGATGTGTATGGGATAACTGAGCTTGGGAAAAGCAGCACGGAGTGGGGGTGGTACATGATATCCTGAGGTAAATTCTAGCCCAGAGCCTGTGTGCCCAGTGAAAAAGATTTTCCACTGTCTGTGTCTCTTCCTGTTGCTTTGCTTTCTATGCTCACTGCTACTTTACCTACAACTGCCCCAATCCAATCTGGACAATTTATGTGAGTACTGGGCAGCCAACAATTGTTTTAACTTATATCCATTGACCTTAGATTACAGGAGATTTAGTGTTGTGGGCTACTAACATGCCAAGGGGAAGATGCAGAGCAATGTGCTCAATGATTTTCTTTCAAATTTGTGCTCCACATGATGAAAACTGGCATGATTGGAAAACTGTGGAAGAAAAGCTAAAGGTGGCCAGGGACTGTATAAAAGATGAAAAGAGCAAAGGAGATTTTTTAAAATATTAGACACCTGCATAGAAGCTGCCTGTTAGGATAGGAAAAACCATAGCAGAGAGAAACAAGATCTGAGAGAGAAATAGAAGGTTGAAAAGAAGCTGTATTATTGCCTTTTAAAATTGAGAAGCTGCATAAACAGGAAGAAAAGCTACAGGAAGAAAAGGAAAAAAATAAAAGAAGAAAAGATTGAAGTTATATTTATGTGGACTCCCTGTCCCCTGACATTGTATAGATTAGAAAACTGGCTGTTATCCCCTGAAGAATGAAATTGGAAACATTTGGGGTAGCCTTGACCATAGTGAACCTGGACAAGATGATTCTTTGTTTCCTTCCAATCCCCCTGAATATGAAACCAGACTCATTATAGAAACGGAAGAAACCAGTGGACCTTGGAATCGAGTGGGAAATTATACTCCAAACCGGCCCCATTTGATTTGATTTAGATGACTGATTTGCAGGAGCACTATGGCTGTAAGCCAGGCCAGACTGAAATCTGGCAAGTGAAATCCTATTAATGCAGACATAATAATGGTCCAGACATTCTGATGCTATTGGACCTCATAAAAAATTAATTCAATTTTTAATAGACATGGGAGCACGAGATTCAATTTTAACACAACAGAATGTTGTCCAGCAAAGAGTTAAAGTTACCAAAGTCAACAGAGCAAGTTCCAAATGCCAAACCACCCAGGTTAATTCAAGGCCCCTGGGCAAGAAGCACATATTGGCATGAAGTGTATGTCAGCCACTTGCTTTGCAGTTAGAGATCATAATGAAAACATTTGGGTTTTGATGTTCTGAAAAGCCAAGCCTGGTGTCTGCTGTTCAGCAGGGTATGATCCTTCAGCTCAAATGCCAGCCCTAACCCTGAAATCAAGAGGCTGCACTGTGTGCTCTGTGCAGCACCTGCGCTCCCTGATTTGACAATATACTACAATACCCAACTTCTGCTGCAGCACAGAATGGGATTTCTGCAGCCACACACCCATGGATGGCAGCACTGGGTATGAAAGATGTGTCCTTTGTAGCCCCCTTATAGAGGAGAACACAGAAATTGGCTTTTTCTTGAGAAGGGACAATATACCTTTAACAAACTCCTACTGGGGTGTAAACATTTCCTGAATGTTTGTAGTAATTCCCCTGGCAAGAAACCCAGGTAAGAGAAAGAAACCCTAGAATGTGAGGGAAGATTGTGACTAGGGAAAAGCTAGAGGTTGTAGCAAAGCTGGAGACTGGGGGGAAGCTGGCATCTGGGGAGAGATCTGTGAGATCTGAGATCTTTTCTGGGGGAAAAGCCAGGGATGGGGAGAAGGCTGGTGCAAAGCTGGCAGCTGGGGAGAACCTGAGCTGGGGGAGAAGCCAGAGATCAGGGGGAAGCCAGAGAAGGGAAAGAATCCTCGATCTGACCATGGTGACAGGGAGGCAGATGACGGCAATGATGATGATGATGATGATGATGATGATGATGATGATGATGATGATGATGATGATGATGATGATGACACCAGTGATGATGGCTATGGTGATCATGACTGTTGAAAATTTTCTGTTATTTGAAAGTAGCTGAGTAGGTGTTTGATATCAGCAGCTGGACCTGTTAGGTGCAAGTTGAACTTTATCTGAAATATTTATTATATTCATCATATTGGGTACATTGTGTAGGTAAAAGAGAGTAGTGAAACCCAGGGCTGACAATCTGAACATTAATACTAGAATAGATGAAGCTGTAGTTTAAATGTTACTTAAAAATTAGTATCTGGTGTGGACAGCCCATAGATCATGGTGTATGAACTAGAACAACTATATTGTAACATGGACCACAGAACTGAGTGAAACTCCCACCTAAACTGACGTCAGAGGGTGTGAAAATGACCACGTGGCAACCACTTGGTAACAAAACAGCGAGGCAATGAGGAGTGAGAAGACCCCAGAGTCTCACAGTACTCCTGATTTGGACTGCCATGTGAGGGATGGGGAGTTTACACTACAAGAGTATAATTGCCCAAAGATTTCAGCCCCAGGCACGCACCCACCCAGGACCCACAGAGCATCTCTGGACCAGAGGAACCTCCCCACAGGGTTTGTGGCCCCAGCTCCCTGAGGCTCCCCAGGTATCCTCCAAAATCTTGATCAGGAGCCATGAGGACAGGTACCCCATCCCTCCCACAGGGACTGAAGGTCTCTCAGCAGCTGGTGAGGGCTCACCAGGAGACAGATGCAGCAGGAGCCAGACATTGTTCACCACAGACTGGGTTTACTGAGGGGTGGGGGGCACAGAGACCCCTATAATAAGTACAGAGTTGAGGGTGCTGAGGTGAGATCGGGAGGCTGGGCGATTATCCAGCAGCTAATGGAGCCCTCCATAGCAGGCTGTCCAGCTGTCCAGCTGTTGTCTGGCTGTCTGGTGTGGACTGGCTGTGAAGACTGGGTCCTTGGTCCAGGTCCAGGTGGGGGGCTAGGTGAATTCTGGAAAAGACAGGAATCCATGCTCAGACCCTCACACTGTAGCGTGACTGGGCACATCTGCCAGCCCCACAGCAGGACTCTGGGGGTGAGGGCTCCAGAGAGCCCAGACAGCTCTCCCAGGGAGCTGTGGGGGGTTTGGTGGCCATTTCTGCAGCATGCAGAGATGTAGAGGGGAGGGCACAGGTGGGATGCTGCACTCCCAGCCATGGTCACAGTGGTCTCTGTGCCCATGGCTGCACATCCTCCTGCAGCACCGTTCCACTGGCTCTCACATCCACCTGTGCCCACCCATGCCCACCCAGACTCACCTGGGGACACCAGCCGGGCCCAGAGGCAGCAGAGCCCCAGGAGCAGGAGCAGCGACAGCAGCCGCATGGCATGGATGGGCAGCGTGGGGGCTGCCTCTCTGGGCACAGGCAGGGGTTTAAATCCTGCTGGGGCAGAAGGTTGGTGCCCATGACCTGGCCCATGCCCCAGCACCTGACACGCTCCATCCGAGCGTGAACCCTCCCGTCCCCTCCCTCCAGCGGGCAGCTGCTGCTGGACAAGCCCTGAGGGAGGCAGGAAGGTGCTGCTGCTTGGTGCTGGGCTCTGTGCAGCCCCAAGAGAGCCACTCTGTGCCACTAGCCACAAGCAGCCAGTGCAACTTCCCGCTGCGGGTGACAGGAATGGGGAAGGCAGCAGCAAAGGGCTGGGGGATCCCTCTTGGGGCTGCCCTGGTGAAACAGTGGAGGAGGTTCCCTGGGCTGGGAGCTGTGGAGCAGCCCGTGGTGCCCTGGCAGCTCTCCGGGCATTGTTCTGCCTCTGGGAACAATCGCTGGCTCCCGAGGGACGTCCTGTGACCAGACACGGTCCACAGCCCCACGCTGCCACCTGCCCCTCAGCCCTGCATCTCTTGGCCAGCCGCTGGCCAGCTGGCCCAGCACGTGGAGAGCAGGAAAAGTCCAGGGCCATGGAGCCCTGCTGCTGGGGACAGGGGGATGGGGGCTCTGCGTGGACAACAGGACTGCAGGGCTGGAGCAACGGGTCCCGTGTCCTTGCCGGAGGTGGAGTTGGTGCTCAGATTCCCATCACACGGGGCTCAAAGCTGCCTCTGCCCCTTCCATGGGATTGGCCGCACTGGACACTGCAGTGTCGCAAGGACAGCACGGGAGCTGCAGGGGCTTTCCCTGCCAGTCCCTTCCGGCAGTGCCTGTCCCTGGGAGAGGCAGGAGGGTTCATTCACTCCGCACATGTGCGTGTGTGTGTGCGCACGTGGGAGCCAGGTGTGGACACGTGTGTGTGCCTGTGCAGTGCACGCTCCCTGTGCTGCCGCTCTGCCCCTCGGCACCGCTCCTGGCCAGGAGCGTCATCCCAGTGGCACAGCGCCGCCTCTGTCCCTGTCCCTGTTGGGTGCCGCATTCCTGGGAGGTGCTGCATTCCTGGGTGTTCCCCGGGTACCCCGGTCACTGCTTTCCCATAGAGGAGGTCTGGCTGGTGGCTCTGCCCTCACGGCTGCACTCATTGCGGGTCCCTGGTGTCAGGGCACACAAGGGGGTACGATACACATCCTCCTCTGGCAGTGGTTTTCTGTCGTGTGAAACCTCAACACCTACCAGGGAGCAGCTCCCCACCTCA